TGCATCCAGTTTTGGTCACCACGATGTAAAAAAGATGTTGAGACTCTAGAAAGAGTACAGAGAAGAGCAACAAAGATGATTAGGGGACTGGAGGTTAAAACATATAAGGAAAGGTTGATGGAATTGGGTATGTCTAGTTTAATGAAGAGAAGGACGAGGGGGGACATGATAGCAGTGTTCCAATATCTCAGGGGCTGCCCCAAAGAAGAGGGAATCAAGCTATTCTCCAAAGCGCCTGAAGGCAGGACAAGGAGCAATGGGTGGAAACTAACCAAAGAGCGAAGCAACCTAGAACTAAGGAGAAACTTCCTGACAGTTAGAACAATTAACCTGTGGAACAATCTGCCTCCAGAAGCGGTGAATGCTCCAATATTGGAAGTTTTTAAGAAGAAACTGGACAGCCATTTGTCCAAAATGGTATAGGGTTACCTGCCTGAGCAGGAGGTTGGACTTGATCACCTCCAAGGTCCCTTTCAACTTTATTATTATTATTAATAAATATAGATATTAAGACACATGGGAACCAATGTTTTATTTTCTTTCTCTCTATTTAACTGAATCATTTTGCTCTGTATCCAAATGTCACAGCAGAGTTTGTGTCCATGGAAAGCAAAATGTCACAATTTCTACTCAGAAAATATCATCAAATCATCTGGCCACAAAGGCAAACCAGTCTGTGAAATGTTAGCACTTCCGTTCCCCCCCCCCGAAAACAGTCTCCCAATATTATTTTACCTCTTAAGTAAGCATCTCCATTTTAAAGTTCAAAGTCTTTTGTTTTTGGCTTAACTGGAGATGTTGAGACCAGAGATTAAAATCTTGAGGAACCCAGGTTCAGAGTCAGTATTATACACACTTGGCTGCATTTGAAGTCCCTAAATAAATTCAGAATGCACACAGAATTGCAGAAATAAAATGTATGGAGATCCTGAGAACTGAGATAAATTCAGGCAAAAAGAAGAAGTACATCAGATGAACTGCCTATGTCTCTGTGTATATGTTTTGTCTGTGTGTATGTAAAGAAACATGGATGAAAATGGGGTAGACAATAGCATATGGACAGAATTCCCCAAGACCACTGAGCCTTTGCAGAAAACTCCTTTGCTTTATGATGGTGTCAACCAAGACAAAAGCTGTGCATGAGTTTGGCTTGGTTGTGAGTTCTGCCTGCTACTATGGTCCAGCTTTTGCAGCCATCTGTCAGCAGGCCTGGAGAGAATTTACAAAGAAATGACTATTTTTTTGAGATACTTTGTAAAACAGTTTGGCTCAAGGCAGTTTCCACTACTGTATTAGCAGAAAGGAATTACTGTAATCCTATTAAATTGGATGAGATGAATCTCCTATCATATAATAAATGAAACAAATCCCTGGTTTTCCTGGAAGAAGAATAGCTACAACCGTACATATATACACATGCACAACAGTAGGTGAAAAAGGTTGAAGCATGTTCAAACCTGTGCCGTGAAAGTCACAGCACAGAACTTTGGCTTTAATTGGTGTAAGAAATAACACAAAGAACATGATTTAAGACAGATTCCCATCAACCTAATACTTTTCATATGGTTTGGATTTCAGCTCACATAATCCTCAGCCAGTGTAACTAGATATTACAGCAGTTTTATAAAACTATGGAAATGACTGTCCCATTTTTAGATTGCCTGGAATTACTTATTTAGATGGAACTGGCAGGTTAAAAGGGATAAGTTGAGGGTAAAATTCTGGAATACACTGAACTGCTACTGAAGCTAGTAGGATTTCTCCTGTAATATATGCTATGATGCAAATGTCTATGGAGATTCTCAGTCATCCAAGGTCATAGTTGTCCCAAAGATGCTCTTTTCATGAGGCAGCTGGACTTCCTTGTTTTTCTTTGAAGACGTTTCGCTTCTCATCCAAGAAGCTTCTTCAGCTCTGACTGGATGGTGGGGAATGGAGATTTATACTCCTTGCAGACAGCTGGTCATTTGCATTCTTTTAGAGAGTCGTTGATGTTACCTGGAGGTTTATCTGTGTCATCAGGGTCACCTGAGTAGTGCAAATCGGTGTGGAGCCTTCTTGAAACTGCTGAAAGGACTGTGTTGTAGACTGGAGATAGACAATGTCATATCCCTCCCCCTCTGTTGAGAGAGGGCTGTTCAATTTTGTCATAAATGGCCTCTTTGACCCCACTTTCAAACCAGCGGTCCTCTCTGTCCAAAATGTGGACTTTGCTGTCTTCGAAAGAGTGGCTTTTGTCTTTTAAATGCAGATGGACTGCTGAATTTTTCCAGTTTCAAGTTCCAAGACTGCAGTGATCTGCTTAACAACTGTGGTAAAAACTGGTATAAAATCAGGTTACTGATCTCTTAACTACTGTTTTGCTTAGCCATGGAAATTCTGGTTCCAGCTGTGGTCATAAGTTGAGGGCTACCTATAATTCTATTCATCCAACCATCTAATCTAATATTGTTGACACTGATAAACAACAGACCTCCATGTATTCAAACAGGTGTTTTCCTAGCCCTATATTCAGAGGCCAGGATTAAATGTGGAATTTAAAAAAAATGAATTACAGTTCAACCACTGATCTATATGGAGCCTACTTGCAATGCCATAATATTTAATTTAGAAATAAGATCTACCTATGATGGAAGAATAGAAACACAGATACTTACTTTCCAGCTGCATATACCTCTGCGGTGTCGAAGAGATTCACACCACTTTCATATGCAATGGTCATTAGCTGTTCAGCAACCTTTTGGAAACAGAGACATTAAATTAATCTTAGAAATATAAAAACTCTCTGTCCCCAATCTTCTAAATTTTGCAGGAATGACTAATAATGAAATAGTTTTCCAGAAATAAATCAGAGTTTAATACCAAATCTAGCTTAATTTTTAAATCATGGACAATGGACAGAATTTAGGATGCAGGAAACTACTGTAGATTGCTACTATTTCTTGCCAGTACTCACATTTTTGAACCTGGGATCTTTTTTCACACAAATTCCAAGTAGCTAAGTACATTCGTTTCCTAACTCAAGCTTGAAACTGCTTGTACTGTAAATCACCTTCAACACTTAAGCTTTATGTGAGATACAATGTACATTGCAATAAACAGTAATATTAATAGTTAACAATTAACTGTTTATTAAATCAACTTTCTTGTGATATGCATAAGTTTTCAATCATAAAAATGTATGCTACAATATATTCATTGGCATTAAAGAAATCATTAAAATCAATGAGAGTTGATTTCTCCTACATAAATGGATATAACATTATAACTTAAAGTGCTATTGATATAAATCATAGGGGTCATCAGAAGTTGGCGTGGCTAGGAAACCAATATGTTCTATTATGTGATAGTGATAGATCATGTGTCTAAGAACAGTCATGGCTGAGAGTCAGGATTTCCCCATTCACATTTCATTCTCTCAATAGCTTTAGTACCGTGGCTTCAGAGACATGTACAAGAAACAGAAGAGGTAATTTTAGGTGGCCTGTATCTGCACCCAAAAATGTAAATTATATTTTATCTGGAAATGGCCCAGCAATATTGGTCTAAGCCAGGGGTAGGCAACCTTGGCTCTTTTATGACTCATGGACTTCAACTCCCAGAATTCCTGAGTCAGTATAGCTGACTCAGGAATTCTAGGAGTTGAAGTCCATGAGTCATAAAAGAGCCAAGGTTGTCTACCCCTGGTCTAAGCTTTGGTATGGCATGCAGGTTTCAGGAGCTGGACAGCAGGAAAAAGGCAAGGCCATTGGCCGTTGCAAATAAAGGAAAGGGAGACTCTGAGATCAGGGATGAGTTAGCCAGAATTCAAGGTTGGTAGCTAAGAGGAGGCAACGCTGCAACCGGCTCCCATGCCGCCTGGCCGAGGCTGAACAGCACAAAGCGCCAGCATAGCGGCGGGGCTGGTAAGGCACATGTGGGGTTGACGGTGGGCGGCGGGAGTAGCTGGCTCTCGGACCAATCGGCCTCGCAGGGCTCGACAGCTATGACTTCCATGTTACCTTCTTTGGAGACCAAGTTTGCCAAATTTAAACTAGGTTGCTATATTACCATAGATGAAATAGTATATATTCAATTAAGAGAAATGAGGTTTTTGTTGTTATGATCATGCTTTGCCGTATCCTGTTTCAATTTATTCAGACTTCTGTGACATGGCTTTTAATTTTAATGAAAACATTAAAGTGATGTATTTATTTCTAGATTACTCAAGTTCTGTTTTCTAGATTGTCATTAAATGACGTCTCACTCACCTCGTCTGAAATTTGACCTCCAAAGGTGACCCAGGTCCCTAGAAAGAAATGGAGATTTATTAACATTTAGGACATTATTTTCATAAACCAAAATATATTATAATTAGGAAATTGTTCTTTATGGGATCTCCTGATGTTTGATTTATTGAGGATCCATTATCTTACAAGATAATATTTCAATGATACTGAATTTTAACCATTGTACTAGCTGACCAGCTCCAGCTCCGTAAACAGCTTCAACTAAGTAGGGATTCCTTTCTTTTGAACAGGAGACGAATGAAAATGCCTTGGGATTATGTAGATGTTTCCATACCAGTAGCATGGATAGCTCTGGAATCAATGCCAGATTTGATAAGCCTCATCTGTGTTTGGGAGCTGAGCTAATTTATTTCTAATTCTTCTCAGAAACAGCAATAAATTTGGCATTTTCCTCTGATGTGCTGCAATTTGGCCTCCATTGTAAATGGTTCTTTTCCCACTGGGGAGAACTCTTGTCACACTGTGGTTTATGAACTCAACAATTACTCTTCCTTTTTTTTCCCCAGTTCACCAATTCATTCCTGCAACTTCTCTTTCTTTGTATACATTGGAATGGATTTTTCCTTTTCTCAATTCATTTGCTTTGGCATTTTGAAACCGATTCCTGCTCATGCTGACATGCCATCAATGCATCTTCACAACTTGCATGAAGTTTGCAATGCAACAGCAGAAAGATGGCTATGAAGCCTTTGGGCATTTTAGTTTTACATTTTTTGTAACTGATCTTCCCTTACGCCAATGGTTTTCTAAACAAACCACAAGAGAAGTGAACAGAAATAAAGACACTGGAAACATGTACTGCTATATCTGTGCTAAAAAAACATGCTATTTTCTTGTGTGTGGCAAGGCAATAAGGGAATTTTTGATATTCTAAAATCAGTAATAATTCAGGAAGTAAAATCTGATTATATGTGACATTCTTTGTATCGTTCCTATTAGATTCAAATTTGTATCATATCTATCTTCTTTTTTACAATAGATAAAGAATACAATCTATTTGCAATAAATTCCATGAAAAAAATGGAATTCTACAAAAGCAACCCATTTCCACAAGTGTTCATCTTTTAAATGAATAAACAAGTAAAATGTTTATCTTTCTCAAAGTGAGAAGTTAGCACAAGAAAACCGAGCCACCTCATCAGAATTAACTAAAAATATCCACATGCTTAAAGTACAGATCAATTTTTATATTGAATTTTTACAAATACAGCAAAATGTCTAATACATTTATTATATAATTTTATTGTAACATGGTTCTAAAGAACACATGTTTATGTTTTCTACAATTCAAGTTTTTATAACCTGGAAGATGGCAATACATACACACATTACTTGCTCATTCTCACAGGTAAATTCTTCTGAATTTTCCAAAGATGCTTTTTCAAAAGACACCTGGATTTTCTTTGTTTTTCCTTGAAGATGTTTCACCTCTCATCCATTTTTCAGTTCTGATGCTTCTTAGATGAGAAGCAAAATATCTTCAAGGAAAACCAAAGAAAGTCCAATTGCCTTTGAAAAAAAAACTGTGGGACAATCATGACCGAGAATCTCCACAGATTTCTGAATTGTATTATTATTATTATTATTATTAATAATAATAATAATAATAATAATAATAATAATAATAATAATAATAATAATAATAATAATAATAATAATAATAATAATAAAGTTGGAAGTGACCTTGGAGGTCATCTAGTCCAACCCCCTGCTCAGGCAAGAAACCCTATACCATTTCAGACAAATGGCTGTCCAGTCTCTTCTTAAAAACTTCCAGTGTTGGAGCATTCACCACTCCTGGAGGCAGGTTGTTCCACTGGTTAATTGTTCTAACTGTCAGGAAGTTTCTCCTTAGTTCTAGGTTGCTTCTCTCCTTGATTAGTTTCCATCCATTGCTTCTTGTCCTGCCTTCAGGCGCTTTGGAAAATAGCTTCACTCTCTCTTCTTTGTGGCAGCCCCTGAGATATTGGAACACTGCTATCATGTCCTCCCTCGTCCTTCTCTTCATTAAACTAGACATACCCCATTCCAGCAGCCGTTCCTTATATGTTTTAGCCTCCAGTCCCCTAATCATCTTTGTTGCTCTTCTCTGTACTCTTTCTAGAGCCTCAACATCTTTTTTACATCGCGGTGACCAAAACTGGATGCAGTATTCCAAGTGTGGCCTTACCAAGGCATTGTAAAGTGGTATTAATACTTCACGTGATCTTGATTCTATCCCTCTGTTAATGCAACCCAGCACTGAGTTGGCCTTTTTGGCAGCTGCAGCACACTGCTGGCTCATATTTAAGTGACTGTCCATTAGGACTCCGAGGTACCTCTCACAGTTACTACTATTGAGCAAGGTACCCCCTATACTATACCTGTACATTTGGTTTTTCTTGCCTAAATGTAGAACCTTGCTTTTTTCACCATTGAATTTTATTTTGTTGGATAATGCCCAGTGTTTTTATTCAAGTATACTTGCAAGAGGGGCTAACCAATTCTTCAATTATTTCTTTCACAATAATTTTCCTTGTTCTAAGCAAAGATTTTTTTATATTCAGTATCTGCATTGAAGAAAAAAAATCCCTTCCCTTGTTTAATATATAGCAATAACAAACTATTAGACCTTGCTGATCAGTAAAAACTGAAATAGTCTTTGTTTCTGTTCTCACCGGTAAGCTTTACAGATTGTAATATGGAAAGCAAAGTGCTGAAGTGTGAAAAATTAAATTAAAACATCACCCTTTGCACACTGTTACCTAGTTACCATGTCACTTTGATTCAGTCACAGTTACAAGGCAACCTCAAAGATGCCAAATTCAGCGTTTGCACGCTCTAATATATAAGCATTTCAGGGCTTGAACTGGGGGAATCGTGAGAGAAATTTTATAAAGCACCATTTCTCAGGAGTACTGTGATGAGTAACCTAATATCATTTTGCTGGCCCAGAAGCGTCTCAGAATTCCACATTACAGGTAGTTCTTGACTTACGACCACAATTGAGCCCAAAAGTTCTGTTGCTAAATGAGACAGTTGGTAAGTGAATTTTGCTCCATTTTATGACTTTCTTGCCACAGTTATAACTGTGAATAACTGTAGCTCTTAAGTTAGTAACACAGTTGTTAAGTGAATCTGGCTTCCTCATTGACTTTGCTTATCAGAAGGTCACAAAAGCTGATCATATGACTCTGCGACACTGTCACAACTGTCATAAATATGAACCAATTGCCAAGCATCTGAATTTCAGTCATGTCACCATGGGGATGCTGCAACTGTCACAAGTGTGAGAAACCATCATAAGTCACTTTTTTCAGTGCCATTGAACGGTTGTAAGTCAAAGACTACCTGTAGTCCATTGGTCCCAAAATGTATTTATATATCTTATAAAATATATTAATAGACCAATATATGATCAGGATAGGAGATAAAAATAGCATGGCATCTTAGGGTGAATTAAAGAAATTCTGTGTTATCCTACAGAATAAATGAATGAAACAACTGGAGAGTGCTAGAGTGATTGACAGAGCAAATGTAAAAAAAAATTACCACACAGAAATGAAATGATACTAATAATGATAGTAAAAATATGCACAATGCATGCTTTTTCCAGTTCTAAAATACACTTTCACAGATTCTTTAATTCTCTCTGAAAGCTCTTACAATTCTTCTTTAAAGACAACTTTATTTTCAATCATTTTCATTATGTTTATTTCTAAAATAACATATTAGCAAAGGAAAAAGATAAATCTTAAACCAGTTCAAAAGCAATTTAAGAAAAATGGTTATGAACAAGACTTTAAATTTACATATGGAAGCAAAGGTAAAGTACAAATGCTTTTGTCCATAAGTTAGAATATAAAAATTCAGAGCATAAAAAATGAGCATATTAATTGATTGCTTCCATTATTTGTACTGATATATTGAGCATAACCACAGAGAACATACACTCTGTTGATTTGTTAGTGGAGGAACCATGATTATTCTAAGATACATAGCAGTGGAGTTTTTGTTTTTTTTTTTAAATTCTGAAAATAGCAAGTAGCTTTATAAGGCTATCTATATTCCTCTGACATCCCCTGGTTTCAGGGAAAACGTTTTTCCCATGTTAGTAGTATTTTCGTGGCACAGTGGATTAAATCTACATGTCTCAGACAAAAGTATGTCTTTTTAATCCCACAAAATGGAATTAGCCAACTATTATAAAAGGGACTCTCAAGACAATCAATTAATATTTCTGAAACAATATCAAAGGTGATTCTGAAACAATATTATATCCGCGAGATGAATAACTTGCTTCAAAGTCATTATCACTATATACAAATGGATAGCTAGGAGATTTAATTTAATTTACTTGATTTAGGCATCATCCAACTCCAAATGACTCAAGCGGCTTTTTTGGTTTATCTTAGTGATCGGCTGGCCTTAATTTGCAATGGCATAAATGAAACTTAATATTTATAGCCTGGGAGTGAGTAAACTAAAGTTATACTGTGTATAATAAAAGCCTGGGGAGACAGCAACCACTGGGGCACATAGCTTAATGAGTTGTACATATTAATTAAAATTATGTTTTCTGTCATTTTATGCATTATTTTTAATGTCAACCATGCCAAATGTTCTCTCCTCAGACAAGCATTTGCACTCTGCGCAGATTGATGTATGATACAAATGAATATAGTATTATAATATAATATAATATGATATGATATGATATATGATACGACACAACACAACATAAGATAACATAACATAACATAATATATTTATATATGATTATAGTTTAATAATTGTAACTTGCTAGTAAAATATCACCAAAATTGTAGATCGGGTCACCCTACAAGGCATATTATCCAATTATTTTGAAACTGTAAGCTGCCCAAGGTCATTGCTTGAGATGGGTGTCTATAGAAATTGAATAAATAAACAAACAGGTCTCCCTTCTAGATTCTTCTAATAATATTTTCTGAGACTAAGAAACCCGGCCCCATCAGATCTCCAAAAAAGGTACAGTGCA